AGATGGATTTTAATTCAGTCTTTCAAATAACAGGGCAAAGCATTTCAAATTTGTTAAATGTTTGTGGTCAGAGCAAATGTTGCTCAAGATGTGTATTGAAGTACATGCATGGTGGAGAGTGAGGAACTTGACACTGCTGACTTTTGACCTTATTTAGTAAACTGTGGACAGTGATGAATGGACTCATGTTGACTATGAAGTATAGTAAAAACTGGAATTTGCATCAATTTCTGCATTAGTGATAATCTTGAGCATAGAAAATGTCTTAATGTGTGGCAGAATTAGTTAGTATGGTTAATAAAAATATGAATGAGAGTAAGAATATAGTGAGGCTCTGTGGATGGTTTGTTTTGACTTTTCTAATATATAGACATATGTATGCTAAAATAGAGTCCTAAACAAACCTCCAAATGACTGTACTTCCTTGCTCATGTTCATGCATTCCCCCCCCCCCCCCCTTTGTAGGAAGCAAATTAACATGACAGTTACTTCTTGGTACGTTCATGGAAAGTGCTCTAATGCTGTGTTGATGAGTGTGTGGTAAAACTGCACGGAATAAGGTACCTCCCTGAGTTTTGCTGAGTGAGCCATTCAAAACGTGCTGTTCTTCAGAGGTTCAATAAAATCTTTTTTCTTTGTTTCTCAATCACGTAAGAGATGAAGAAAACATTTAAGTTGTTAGCTTAGATAAACTCTTCTAAAGAAAAGTCAGAATTTCTTACTTACTTTGTTTATTAATGAGGCCTGTTGTTGTCTCCTGTTTATTTTTTGCACCAGTGTTAGAGCACTGGTGAGGCCTAACTCTCTGGACTTTGGGATTGACTCTGTGCTGTGCTCGTTGACAGGATGTGGTCCAGGTGGGTCGTGGGTGTAGGAGCAGCCTTACCCCCAGCTGCGAGCAGCTCTCTGGGGCCGACAGCTTCTCCTGAAGCAGCACGGCTGCAGGCATCTGAGTCCAAGTCTGTGCTGTTGGGAGACTTTCCAGATTAGTTCATTCACAGTCACCAGAGTTTTTCCACCTGCCCAAGACTAGAAGGATCGAATACTTCTAGTTCATATACTGCACTTTTTTTTTTTTTTCCTGGGGGGGTGGTGAGGTGTTCTTTGGTGGGGCTTTCTAGATTGTTTGTGTTTTCTTTCCCTTAGTTACAAGCGTTATTTGCCATGTAGCGGAGCGTGTCCCTTTCCCTGGTTATCCTGCGATTACATCTGAAAAACTCCCCCGCGCTGTAGGTGCCTCCGAGCTCCCTCCCCGGGGACAACCACAGTCACC